GCATTTATCAGTCTTTCTCTCTTACACAGTTGTACTCCTCTCAAATTTCTTTCAGATCCATTATATTCTGTGGCAGACAGGCTGGACTCTTAGGGTGAGGGTAGGAGCTGGTTGGAGCTCAGCTGAGAAGCTGTTACACCGCAGCAGCATTAAAACAACGCAAGGCAGGTGTCTCCTGGTGTCCCCAGCCATGAGTAACAGCCAGTCACACTCGCCACTGAAAACATTTTAAACTCCTCTTGGCGTAGAGTAAGTAATACTCTGAGAAGGTGCTTTAGAGGTGGAAGATGTGAATAGTCTCCTCATTTTGCCAGCAAATAAAGGTCTGGGGCAACGTACTTCTAATACAGTGTGACACGTCTGGAACCGCCATCACATTCTGAATAAAACTCATGCAACTACAACAAAGCTACTAATTTAGTAACACAGACTTAATCACAATTCTAACTTCCAGGTCATTAAGAAAGCCCAGTTAGATCCATAATCTGGTGCTAAATAGTCAATACAGTTTTCTTCTTCCAAGGACCACATAAATAAAATTATTAATGAAAAAAATTACAGGAAGACAGTGCATAAAGTGTTTTGTAGTTCTCTGCCTGCTAAAATCTTTCATTTCTATGTAGCAGAAATCCTACTTCTTCCTTGAGACATTTCAGTGTTACACACTGCATTTTTCCAGAGTGAAATATGGACTTTATTCTCTGGCTGTAATGAGTCAAGGAAACCACTAATGCACAGTGTCAGTATTTTTACTGTTATTATCTGTATTCTGGCATTTCCGACAAGTCAAAGATCATGCTAATGATGATGTATCCAAAGGTCCAGTTCAGATAATGTACCCAATGGAACAAATTCAGTTTACTATTTGATTTCACAGGTACTTAATCACATAAAGTGATGGCTAGTTGGCACAGTGATAGATGAACTGGGGACAGATTAGATTTGTTAACGCTGACATTAAGATCAGCACTGTCTAGTGTGAGTCCTGCTCTCATCACACTCTTGGATGTAGGAGGTGTGATATCTCATTCTTCAGCACTGGGGAGATGTGAAATTAGGAACCCCAGCATCTGACACTGAATGGTGGGAGTGCTGCTTGGTCAAAATATGTCATTATCATGTCTATCATCTTTGTTGTTAGAGAGCCATTTATGTTATCCAAGAGAAGATCAGCTGAGCATGGAAAACCTTAGAGGACTGTTACAGATCTCATGTTTTTTTAATGTTACTAAATGCAAATTGTAGGAAAGACAGTAAAAGTCTTGGAAACTTCTTCATGAATTGGTGGCTGGAAAGAAGGGCTGGTCAATGTGTGATACGACAGCTTGTTTAGAAGTTGTGACAGAAAAAAGGTTTAGGAACTTCAAACAGTGCTACAGCTAGCCATACCTGAGACACTTGCCTTGTGCTGGAAGGGAACAAGACAAGCCACACGGTAGAGTGGACTTCTGGTTTTTTATGGATGAGACACCTTAAAAACTCAAGGTGAAAGATAATAGAAACTAGAAAAGAACCTGTTGTTAAATTTGGTCCAGAATTACATTTTAAGCTTAAATTACTCCCAGTCATTCCCATTTTCCAACCTTGTAATTAGAAGCTTGACCTTATGCCTGGCTGGATTGAATCTCTAATTTGATTAATGTTTGTACTTGACTAGTGTTGATGACAAGCCCAGGTGAAGCTAATAAACATGAGAGTGGTTTGTGAGATAGTCCAAATGCATCCATATAAAGGGGTATAAAGGGTTTTCTGGAGAAATGGCTCCCCAAGGTATTTATTATGGCTCAGTACATGGAGCGTGCTGCTTTGCAGGTACAAAAATGAATGGGGGGTAGGGGAATATAGGGTGGGGACCAGAGTTTTCAGGTGTTTGATCGCAGAAAGCAGCCTGCTCTGGTAGACACAGGCCAACATCTCTCTGCAGGGGACAGAGGGCTGAAACATATCTCACAGTTGCAGGAAGCACTCAGACTGCTCTTTAACAACCCTGCATCTCAGTTTGTATCATCAACATGTCCATGAAACTGTCCAAAAAGCAGGATTTTCACTTTGCAGAAGCTTCCTCCTTTGTTTGTCTTTCATTTAGTTTTCATCAATTTCAAGAAAACCTAGAAACATTTTTACTCCTACAAACTGGACATTCAAGGAAAGCTTCACTTAGAATATGCTGATTTACCACGTACCCTAAACAAAATAACCTTCTTCACATGATAGTAGCTCTGTCAAGCAGGTAGACTTGTCTGTCTCAAGACTGCTAACCACACTTATAGCATCATCAACTCCTTATGTCTTGTTCCTGTGGTGCTTTGACAGGAATCAAAGCATTTTTCTATGGGAATTCTGCCTTCCATGTGATGACAGTTTGCTGAAAAGCAGCTTGCTAACTATAGTCTCAATCCCCCTTGAAAACATTTCTTCTCCTGCCATGCACAGTCCATCCCAGTCAGGTCTGTGACCCGTGGCATGGGGACTCCATTGCTCACTCAGCCTTGGAAGGGCATGTTCCAGAGAATGAAAGATCAAGATTTATTGTGGCGAAACTGTCTATAAGTGCAAATAATTTAGCACTATGTTAAAACAGTGATTAATTTAGCCCATAATTTCAAGAAATGAAGCAACACTCCCTGACAAAAGCCCCAGAAGATATAATTTATGACAGCTCTCCCAGTTAGCAGCCTAGAGAGCTCTCCTCAGTCCTGTTAATATCTTCACTGGATTCCCTACTGAGCATCAAGGTCTCCTGGTATATTCTCCTATGGGCTGTAAACAGAAATTTTAAGGACAGGTTCTCATGTGGTCTGATCTGTTTAACATGTCACTCTTCCTTTTCAGTAAGGTTACTGACACTTAAGCATCCCTGCTGAAACACAAGTCTTCCCTTACCTCATTATTACAGGGACAAAATCTCTGGTTGCAGGCTCATTCATTTCACCCTCTGTGGTGCTGCCTTTTCCCTTGTGTTTTTCTGTTATATTGTGATAATAATAATCAGCTTCCATAACTGATACAATCCACAGACACAAAGACTTCCCTGCTGGCTTTCCATCACCCATCACATCTCATTTTGAGCTCCCATTTCAACCTCTGTGTCCTCCACGACCTCATACCTTACTTCACCTGTTGTGTCACCTCTTACGCACTCCATCTCTCCCACATTACCAGTGTGTCTCACCAAGCCACAGGGTACCAGCAGGCTGCTCTCTATGGTATCAACTATGCCTGAACCACATTTCCATCCTTTTCTCACCTCTCCTTCCCACTGCTCCAGCAGTGTGATGAGACCAGTACCCAGTGCTGAAAGTGCTATCAGAGTGAGAATCCAGCATTGCCTGTGCCTTTCTCTTAAGACTTTTAAAATGAGGATTACTATGCTTAATGTTTCTGTGAAGGAGGGTAGTGTAGTGCCCTAACTATCTAACCATGCATGCTTGAGCCTCCAGGATGATCAAACCTTTACCTTTCATTTTCTTGTTTGTTTAGGTTCTTTTCCAGTAAGAAATGCAGTCTCTTCATGTTGCTTTCAGATTGGACAAAGCATCAGTCCCAATACAGGATTGATGTAGAAGTAGCCCAAAAGCCTTCAGCCTTCCTGGCACCATGTGATTAGGAGCATTTAGATCCTTAAACATCAAAAACTCAAAAAGCTCAAGTTTTTAAGTATGCAGCTGAAGAGCTATACATACTGTTTTTTGTTTTTTTGTTAAGTGGATGGGAAAATCTGTAAAAACTGAAGATGAAAATCCCCACCCAACTTCTAAATGTTGTTGTTTGAAAGACTATGCATTAAATTTCTAATGCAGAGAGCTGTGTCTTATTTAAAGGTAATACATGATGGTTGAAGATGAAAGGAAACCTGAGGCTGCTACTCTGAAAGGCGCTGAATTTTCCTCTCAGGTGCCTGTGTGTTAAGTCTACATAGTCAATCCCTATGGTTTATCTGACCAGTATGGGAAAAATAAGTGGGTCACAGAAAACGAGCGCTGGAGACCATTCGGTTTCTCCAGCAAACCTAAATGCGCACTTGTATTTTGAGAACCGCAGGATGAGCAGAAGCTTTTGCTGCTCGTCACTCCCCGCAGCCGGGCTACCCGATGCGCTCGGAAGACTCCCGCACACCCACCCACACGCCAGCCTCTGCTCTCAGCATGAGCCGCGCTGGAGCCCAGCGTGCGCCCGCCACCTGCGCCGGCAGGCCCCGGCTCCCGGGGAAGGGCTGCGGCCGCGGCTCGATGAAGGGCTCGTTCCCCGACGCGTCCCTGCGCCGGCCGTGCCGGTGCCAAAGTTGCGCTCCGCTCTGCGCCCTGCAGCGGGAGCGCCGCCCGGGCTGCCGGGGGACACAGGGCACCCACGCCGGGGACTCCCGGGGTACACCCGCCCGGGGTGGGGTGCCATCCCCGGTGCCTGCCCCACGACCCGCTGCTGCGGCACGGAGGGCTCGCCCCCCGCCGCGGGCACGGAGCCCATGCGGGCAGCGCCGGTGCAGACGCGCGGGTTCGGCACCGCGAGAGGCCGGCACCGTGCGCATCCCCCTCCTCGCCCGCTCCTGGGGGAGCCGCGGCGTCGCGCCCACTCCTCCCGCGGCCAGGCCCCGCCCTCCCCTGGAAAAGGGATGACATCATCCCTCTCCCCCGGCTCGCCCCGCCGCTCCCCCGGCCCGCCCGCCGCTCCGACAGGGATGGGGGGGGTCCCGTCCGCACCCCCTTGGCGGAGCCGCTCCCTCGGGGGGCCCGGAGGGGGCTCCCGGCGCCGCCGCCCGGCCTCGCCCCTGCCCCACGCCCCACTACGTCATCCCTCCCACCGCCCCCTCTCCGCCGGTGCTGGCGGGGGAGCGTCTCCCGAGGGGAGCGCCGGGGCCGGGCAGCGGCTTCGCGGCGGCTTCAGCGTGCGAAGGGCGCCGGCGCACCATGGCGGCGCCGGCGCGGTGCGGCGGGCGCGGCTGCGCACCGCGGCGGGGCGGGCGCGGCGGGCGGGCGGCGGGGCAGCTCCTGCGCTGACACCTGCAGCATGTGCCAGGAGCTGCAGCGGCAGCGGCCGCCTCTGCCTCTGCGCGGCGCGGCCGCCCCGCTCCGGCGCCGTGCGCGGCGGCGGCGGAGCAGGAGCAACTCCCGCTCCTCCCGGCGCGTCCCTCCTCCTGCCTGGCACCGTGTGCCGGCGGCGGGTGCACGGTGACCTTACGGAGCGTGCATTACCTCACAGGTAAATATCAGCTGACCCGCCCGGCGGCGGCGGGAGCAGGCGGCGGCGGGAGCGCACGGAGCCTTCCCGAGGTAGCGATGCCGGCCGGGGCAGCGGGTGCGAGGTGCTGGGCGGGGGGCGCAGCCGCCTGTTGCCGTGCGCCTGTGCCGGGCGGCGGGCGCAGGGGGTTCCCCGTCGGCACCGTGGTCAGGGGGTGGGGGCGGCCTCCGGAGGGTGTGCCAGGCGGGGGGCAGCCCCCTGTCCCCCACCCTCCCGAGGCCGCCCCCGGGGGGTCGCACGGCGCTCCCGCCTGTCCCCAGGCGCCGCTGAGACGCTCCCGGCGTGCGAGTGTGCACAGGCATGCGGCACGGCACTGGCTCCTGTCGCCCACCCAGCCGCTCCGTGCAGCAGGTCCCGGGGTCCCTGGAGGCCATCTGGGGACCCGGGGGCTGTCCCTGCTCGCCCGCTGTCGCCTCTTGCAGCCGGCTGAGGTAAAAGTGACGAAAGGACGGCGCCCCGCAGCGCAGCAGCGGCAGCCTTTACCTGTGCGTTCACCGGCTCCTTGGCAAACTTTGGTGTTGGGCGGTGAAAATCTCGATCCTTGCAGCCAAACGGGCTTGTTCTACACTCCCGTGCTAGAAACCAGCAACCACCCAAAGTGAAATACTGCTGGCTACGGCTGAATCGGGTACTCAATCACTGGGTCCACTTCCCAGCATGGGTGATGTTTTAGGCAGTACTTTAGTAGTACTTCAGACGTGGGCGGGGAGCAGTGTGGTCTGGTAATACTTGATAGTTTCTGGTGACCCAGATGTTAAAAGGACAGGTTCACCTTAGCTTCAAGTAATAAGCAGCATCACAAATTTGGTGCTAGTAGGCTTTCAATATATTGTGTTGTCTTTGAAGTTTTGTAACTTGCCGTTCAGTTCTGAACTTTGTACCTCTGCTTCTCCCCTTGTTTTTTAGATGTAGAAATATTTTAATAATGGGGGTAAAGGCACAGATTCTGTGATTTAATAGTGTCATAAGCTATGGAGCTGTTTTCATAACTTTTATCTGGGTAGCAGGTTGTGTCGCACACCTGTGACTGCCACATGACCAGACTAATAAAATTATGGTGACCAAAGAGTAGTAAGTACTATGTTTTTAAGTCACCCTGGTTTCTGGTTGTCAGATGGTAAGTGAGCGTGAGATAAGAGCCAATGCCATGTCTATTTTAAGTTCATGTCTTTATAGTGCTCAAAAGAGAATGAACCTACTGACACATTTTTGGGTTTCACCTTCCTGTTGCAGTCAAGGTCCTGCCTTTATTCAAAGTCTGTATTCATTGCAGTGGAGGATTTTGTGGATTTTATTTTTTCTTTTTCAAAAGACAGAGGTAAAACTCAAAGAACTGACAGTTTCAGACTAAATCTTGCCTTCCTGTAGAAAAGCACACGTAAAATACCATCTCCTGCCTTGACCTCTCAGTGGGATGTAAGTGTAGTCAGAATAAGATGCTATCGTCTTGCAGTGGTGGCAATAAATACAAATTACATACATGTGCCCTCTGTCACCACAAGCAAGTGGATAGTTTAAGCATGTAATGCTCAGTATGTCATTTCCACAAGCAGTTTTCAGTGTGTTACTGGTTGTGTGCACCAGTGCCCAGCATGGCTGAACTGTGCAGGATCAACTATCATAGATTCAACTCCCTCTGCAAAGTAGCTCAGGACCCAGTCCTGAACAGAAACCTGTGGCAGTGCTCTCTGGATTGTAGAGTAACCCACTGATTCTGTGACTGAAAAACAGAAAAAAGCACATGTTATGGTAAACTGCTGGATACCAGTCCCTCAAGGTTTAGAGGAAGGTAGAGGATGAATTGTTGTGTTTGGCTTTTGAAGGTTTATACCTTTATTAATTATTTGCTTGATTTCTACGGTTGTATGCTGTCAGACTGTAGAGTAGATTGTCTCCTCTTACACATTTTGCCCAGTATAAATCCATTCAGAATTGCCTGTAAGGTTCAGTGGTGATCTTACTTCCATTCCAGGCAAATAATCAGATATAATTGCACTGAAATCAATGAATATATACAGACATGAAGCTGTGAGAAGAAAATGGGCCTCATGGTGTTTTACATTTGTACAGTTGAAAGCCAAAAATAGCTGTCATAAACACAGCATGTCCTTTTGGAAGGAACAGTCAATGCCTACCTTAGAGTTGTTCAAAGTTTCTTGTGTTTCAGCAGCCTTGGGTTAGAAAAGTGAAAGCAGCAGTCTTGCAATGAGAACTGTTTCAGAGAAACTTTGTTCCAGTGGCTAATCTCCTTCTCCTTAATTCCATGTTGTTAATCTTAGCGTGCCCATATCAACACTATTAACATTTGGAAAGGACTGCTTTTTCAAACAGGGTTCCTTGAGTGTTTTGCCAGGTGTTCTAGGGTTAATTCCAATGACTATATTTTAAACTGCTGCTCTTTACATTAATTATATATATTCCTATCTCTAGACTTAACAGCAAGATGCAAGTGGTATGGAATGTTACGTTCCAATTAGTTTTGCAGTTGCAAATGGGGATTATAGTTGATGGGTAAGTCTGACATGTACTGCATGACTTGTCATGTTTTTCCTGGAGAGAGGGGAGTCTTGGGTCTGAGTCACCATGGAAGAACATGGAGCCCCGTAGGCATAAAACTGGTGCAGTGGAGTGATGAGTCAGATCTCTTATCTTGAAATTTGGTATTACGTGGTATTCATGCATGGCCTGCCTCACATTCATTGTGCACCTAGGCAAGTAACTAACAGGCAGAAAACTCACCTAATCAGACCTCTGACTCGCCTTTTCTTTGCAGAGTTAGTCCTACTTCTTTGGGAATAAAAGGCTGCTGGTTAGAATCACTTAGGAAATCCTGGTGTATTAACCTGTGGAGCAGATCAGTTCTGCCAGGCTATATCCAGTAATTTCTTACATTGCTTCAAGTCCATATAATACAACCTAATATTAAATTTTTACTTTTTGTGCTTTAGGGTTGAACCAGCTTTTCCAGACTTCTGGAACTGGATAAAGAATAGCAGAGTAAGAGCAGTGTTACATCTTCATAGACCCCAGTATTTGTTAAGCTAAATGACTTTTCATGAGCATTGCTGTGGAACGTCAGTATTGTTTCTTTTTCCAGAGGAAACTGATGCAACTGCTAAGCTAATGAAAATAATTGATATTTCTTAGAAGTGGTAGCCTCAGAAATATGTTAAACAGCAAGAGTGAAGATTTGCCCATGCAGCTGTTTTTGGAAACAAAACAAAGCCTTACATCAGAGGTGTCTTCACTTAGACACTTACTGTGAACTTCCTTGAATAGCAATCGTTAATAACGCTATCTTCTCAAGCTAATGGAGCATGAAGGTTCCTTGATTTATAATGATTTGGGAACAGATGCTTGAAATTCTGTCCACTTACACAAACAGCACAAGAATGACGCTTTTGCTGAAAATCGGGGGGAGGCAGGGGGGAAATTATGTGTGGGACTATCAGAATGGCTTGAAGAGTGTAATGCAATGTCTCCCTCTCCAATGTCATTGCAAAATCTACTAGAGGGACTGTGTTTGGAAAACATTACATGAGGTTTCTGTTTGAAAATCATAGCAGAACATTATTGATCTGTATATTTTTAATCTCCTGTGTGTAGCCAGTTGCCATATTTTGATGGCTGCAGATGTTAGTGCTGGTTTTTGGGTAGGGTGCGTGTGTGTTCGTGGTCTTGCAAAAAAAGCTTCTGTCTTCTCACATTGCCTTAAATTGGAAAAATGTTACAATTAAGACATTTGGAAAACCATATAGGAAAGATATGCAAATTTAGATCTAAATTGTACAAATTCCAATTAAAGTGTAAATGCTTCATTTGTTTTGAAGTGAGATGCATCTATTGTATTCTGTAGAAGTAGAGATATCTAGTGTCACCTGTGGAGAAATCAGTACAGGGAAGGTTTAGCAGTTTCAGCAGCTGAGATAAAATGCAAGATAAAATTCGAAGTTCTTGTAAGAACTTGGAAATTTCAGTGGTCTTCGTGTGCTGGTGTGGAGATGACCAAATCTGAGGCAAACTGCCGCGGTGCTGTTCACTTCAGTAGAGCTTGGTATTTGGCCTGATGTTTAAGGCAGGTCTGAAATGTATGGGGCAAAATCCTTCCCTCAATTACACTGACATAAATCCAGTCTTTGTGTATTTTCTCCATCCCACTGAAGAGAGAAGGAGATCACTGTTCAACTTACCTATGGCATATCCACAGCTGTTCCTAGGGACTATAATTGTTTCATGCAGTGTCTTTACTATAAAATGTGTGACATCATCTCCTCTTGGAACCACTGTATTTGTAGGGATTATGTGAGAAGCACCACTGACAGTTCACATGCCTGTGCATATGCCACAAGGACCCAGAGGGAAATCCTGAGCTGTACCTTTCATTGTACAGAGGCTGCATTTTTATAGGTATGCTTTCTCTGTATAGGCATAACAGCCTGTAAAGGGAAATACAGCGATTTGTATAATTGTTCAAAAGAGATTACAACCTAACAGAATTCCATCCTATAACATACAAACTACAAAAATAAAGGCTCTTTTCAGTTAAATCTTTCACCAGATTGATGTCAAGAAGCAATGCAATATCTCAAATGATTTGGTCTTTTTTAATCTTCTTAGCTGGAAGAGATGTCAGAAGAGCCATTCAAAACTGAAGTAGAAGATACATGCAGAATTTCCTCATGTAGTGGTCTGGATGTCTGCTTGTTTTGCTTAAGGAGAAATTCAGACTTCAGAAGCACACTTGATTTTCTTTTCTCTTGGTGCTGATAAGCTCTGTCTTGGCTTAGTTGTCTAAAGAGGTAATACCAATTAAAATATAATGTGACAGAAATGTCTATAAACTGTTTTGTGATGTAATTATCATAATGTAAGATTCTTCTGACCTGATTAAAATCAACAGGGGAAAGAAACTTGCAGCATTGTCTCCAGCTTTTCCAAAGTTCTGCTGGGACTTCTTCCTG